CACAACTGAATTTATACATTCTTTTAAACTCCATATAACTCCACTTGTATGATGTCTATGTCACAGAAATACTTACACATGTATTCATTCAACACAATACTTTCTGAAAGTATGTTACCCTCCAGGTATTTTTCTACTTGCTCTCAAGTCACTGGTACAAGAAGGCAAAGAATAAACCAACAATATGAATTATGTTAAATAGTGATATATGCTATTTTCCATTGATCAGGTCAAAATCTTTAGAGTCTTTCTTGACTCCCCTCTTTTCCTCACACTCCATATCTAATTCAGCAGTAAATCCTACTGATTCTATTTTCAAAATATATTAGAATCCAAACACTTCATGCTCACCTATATGTATTTACAACAATGGCTCCCAAAGTCAAACAAGACACTATTACTAAACAAAGGGAAAATGAATAGTGAGAAGGAAAAAAACAAACCAACAATCAAGATCTTGACTACAATATCTCATATATATAACATGTCTTGAACACAAAGTCTATTCAGGTAATTAGCAATGTGTCAATCCAGTAGCATATCATAAACTCTTCACAGTTCACAGGTGTCTAACAGGTTATTTACTGTGTAAACAGGTTAATACTGCTGCACTCTACCTGAAGGTACATTCTCTCTGATGCTCTCTGTTGGACAGACCAGTGGGCTAAGTAGGGGGTGGAAAGCAGCATATGGAAAGCTGAATATAAAAGCTAGACTGAAAATGGAACATCAGCATGGCACCAAAGAAAGTTCTCATATTTTCTGAAACATATGCAACTTGCTTCTTAAACATGTAAGCAAATCCAGTCAGGCCCACACTTATGTGTTAATAAACTTTTCCTATAAACAGAGATATCCTAAACTCTTAGGTTTTGCAGGTGTAAGCCATATGGAATCTGTCACAACTACTCAGCTCCGCTGTTATAGTGCAAAAGCAGCTGTAGACAGTACTAAACAACTGAACAAGATATATTCTGATAAAATTGCAGGTATCATATTAATGTAATTTTATCTGTAAAAATTTTAGTATGGATTTCTTAGATTAAAAACTCACTCTTCCACCTGTTTACATCCTCTGCTATTTCCTTCTTCAGTGTTTCATAGTTCTCCCTGTAGAGGTCTTTTGCCTCCTTAGTTAAATATATTCCTAGGCCCGTTATTTTCTTTATTGCTATTTTGAAGGGAATCGAGTCTTTGATTTGGTTCTTACTTTGACTGTTGTTGACGTATATGAATGCCTCTGATTTATGTATATTGATTTTGTATCTTTACTAAATTCATTTATCAATTCAAGAAGTCTCTTGGTTGAATCCTTGGGGTTTTCTAGGTATAATATCATGTCATCAGCAAAGAGTGAGAGTTTGATCTCTTCTGCTCCCATGTGGATGCCCTTAATTACGCTCTCTTGTCTGATTGCTATAGCAAAGACTTCCAGCACAATGTTGAATAGAAGTGGAGATAGTGGGCAACATTGCCTTGTTCCAGTTGCTCATGAGTTGGCAGAATCAACTTTGTTAAAATGTCTATACTACCCAAAGTGGCCTACAGAGTTAATGAAATACCTATTGAAATACCAGCATCATTTTTCACAGATATAGAAAAAAAAAAGTTTACGTTTCGTATAGAACTAGAGAAGACTTCGTATAGCAAAAGCAATTCTAGGCAATAAAAACAAAATTAGAAGTATCAATTTACCAGACTTCAAACTATACTACAAGCCTATAGTAATTAAAACAGCTTTTGACTGGCACAAGAACAGGGACATTGACCAGTGGAACAGAACAGAGAACCCAGATATAAAACCATCCTCATGTAGCCACCTAATCTTTGACAAAGCAGACAAAAACATACACTGGGGTAAAGAATCCTTAATCAATAAATGGTCCTGGGAAAACTGGATAGCCACATGTAGAAGACTAAAACAGGATCCACACCTTTCACCTCTTACAAAAATCAACTCATTCTGGGTAACAGACTTGAACCTTAGGTGTGAAACTATTAGAATTCTAGAGGAAAATGTTGGAAAGACTCTTCTAGACATTGGCCTAGGCAAAGAATTTATGAAGAAGACCCCAAAGGCAATCACAGCAGCAACAAAAATAAATAAATAGGACCTGATCAAATTAAAAAGCTTCTGCACAGTCAAAGAAACTGTCAAGAGAGCAAACAGACAATCCACAGAATGGGAGAAAATTTTTGCAAGCTACACAACCAATAAAGGGCTGACAACTAGAATCTATTTATAACTCAGGAAAATCAGCAAGTAAAAATCAAACCACCCTATCAAAAAGTGGGCAAATGACATGAACAGAGACTTCCCAAAGGAAAACAGAATAATGGCCAACAAACATGAAAAAATGCTTAACATCTCTAATCATCAGGGAAATGTAAATCAAAACCACAATGAGATATCCCTTATGTTGGCATGGATGTGGAGAGACAGGAACACTCCTACATTGCTAATGGGACTGCAAACTAATTCAACCTCTGTGGAAAGCAATATGGAGGTACCTTCAAGCGATACAAGTAGATCTACCATTTGATCCAGCAATTCCATTACTGGGCAACTACCCAAAAGAACAAAAGTCACTCTATGAAAAAGACACCTGCTCTTCAATGTTTATAGCAGCATAATTCACAGTTGCAAAGATGTGAAAACAACCGAAGTGCCCATCAATACATGAGTGGATTAATAAAATGTGGTATATGTATACCATGGAGTACTATTCAGCTATATGAAACAATGGTGATATAGCACATCGGGTATATTCCTGGATAGAGCTGGAACCCACTCTATTAAGTGAAGTATCCCAAGAATGGAAAAACAAGCACCACATGTACTCACCAGCAAATAGGTATTAACTGATCAACACATAAGGACATATAGGAATAACATCTATTGGGTGTCAGGTAGGTGGAGGGGAGGGAATGGATGTATACATACATAATGAGTGTGATGCGCACCAACTTGGGGATGGACACGCTTGAAGCTTTGACTCCAGGAGGGAAGGGAGCAAAGGAAATATACATAACCTCAATATTTGTACCCCCATAATATGCTGGAAAAAAGAAGCAAAAAAAAATACCTTCTGCAACACCAAAACAAACAAACAAACAAAAAACTCATTCTTAAAAGCATGTTTTTGAAAGGTGGCAGACCAGGAATACAACATACTCATCCTTCTCATAACCAATTTTGTTCAAACAACATGATATTGAAAGGCATAAAAGTAAATAGTCCAACATAGATTAAATGCAAGCTAATCATATCAAGTGTGCTTTACACTTCCTATATTTAAAAGTGTGCTGTGAATACAAGTCAGTACCACCCAAACCCTCATGTTGCCTCAGCTAATAGGACCTTCTTCCTGAGAGCCTGCTGCTAGGATTCAGAACAGTCAATGTCGGGAGGTAGGAGCAGGCTCTATTCCTTGGTCAATATGCAAAACAAAAATATATTAGCTCTCCTCAAAATAGCATCCTATTTGAAGCTCACTAATCAGAGACCTACAGGATACTTTATTTTTGTATAAATGCCCAATTAATTAGTAACTTTAGCTCACACTTCAAATGTGTGTGTGGTCTGCGCACTAACCATTCTGGAATCTGGACTCCTGACCTTCCTTTCAGAGTAACCGGATTTAATACTGGGATAGGATGGGTGTCAGGTGGTAGCTGTAGGGCACAACAGAACCCATAAACATTATTTGGATACAAGCTGAACTTTTACTTGACTCAATAGCTCAGACTTATTTACTATGATCCACTAATTTTATTCAAACCCTTATTTGGCTGCCAATTTCGGGGCTTTAAAGTCATTTTTCTTTCATGACAGGATTGCCAAGTGAATGGATTTGGAAGTTTTATTGGCATCCACAATTTTGCCCTATAAGCCAGTTCAAACACGGATACACCAAGCTAAATTACACAGTTTAAATCATTAAAGTAATTGAATGGGGACCAAAATTCCTGCAGGAATTTCATATTGATCTTATTTTACTTAAAGCATATTTCAAAGCAAACAGGCATTGAAAATAAACATCTCCATTGCATGGTAATTACAGTCTCGTGCAGAAGTCATGGCTAGGCCCTCAAAATCACCTGTTTGTCTAGTACTATGAAGGCACTTAATGATACAGGATGTTTCTGTCAGGTGGGTGGACATAATATGGAACTGTTTATGTGTGTTGCACCTTTACAAGCTATATATGAGATAAAATGGAGGCCAAGGGCCCAGGGACGATCATGTTTAAAAGGAGATCTCTTTTTTATCAGCCACCTTTGAGCATTTTCTATGCTCTTCTCAGAAACATCTGTGCCCCTTTCTGGTGCTTCTCTTCCTCATGGCATCTCAGGCAATGAGGATCCCAGGAACCTTACTCCTCACTTTACAGAATAAAGCAGCTGATAAACCATTTCTAACGAAATATTGGTGACTTAAATAAGTTAGCTTCATTCTTCTTTTTGACAGCCAATTCCAATTTTAACCACGTCAGCAAATCCACATCCTGTCCAGGATATCTGTGCACGCCTAGGGTTAACCCTCTTATGTCGCTAATGTGCCTGAGTGCTTTCTCCCAACAGTCTTTCAATATCACCTCTCATCACTGAGGTGCTCCATCATGAGGAACTTGGGTTTATTTCCCTATTTTCTGAAAAAGGGAAAAAAGGAAAAGAAAAAGCAGGCACAGCCTTTTGTGAAGGTCTCTAGGGCAATGGATGAGCTTATAGAGCCACACCACACACAAACAGTTCCATATTATGTCCACCCACCTGACAGAAACATCCTATAATATCATTAAGTGCCCTCATGCGTTTGCTCTTTCTCTCTCCCTCTCTCCCTCTCTGTCTCCCTCCCTCTTTACAAACACCAGCATTTCAAAAATACCCCTCTGAGCTTTCCTTTATATATCCAAAGTGATATGCTATATCCATATGCTCTGATAAATATAGGTCACCTTGGGAGAGGGAGCACATGCCTGATGGGGCAAGCATCTGGGCCCGGAGGATACTCAGTGTTCTAGGTCAGATCCAACACTTTGTAACAATGCCTGATATAAATACCAACCACCTCGATAAGCAACAAGTCCAACTCTTGGCGGAGATGTGTATCCTTATTGATGAATATGACAATAAAATTGGAGCTGAGACCAAGAAGAATTGTCACCTGAATAAAAACACTGAGAAAAGATTATTGCATCAGGCTTTTAGCGTCTTCTTATTCAACAACGAAAATAAGCTCCTGCTACAGCAAATGTCGGATGCAAAGATTACCTTTCCAGATTGTTTTACCAATAAGTGTTGCAGTCACCCGGTAAGTAACCCAGGCGAGCTCCAGGAAAACGATGCCCTCGGAGTGCAGCGAGCAGCACAGCGGCGTCTGCATGCCGAGCTGGGAATCCCCCCTGGAAGAGGTTCCTCCAGAAGAAATTAATTATTTGCCACAATTCACTACAAGACCCAGTCTAATGGTGTCTGGGGAGAACATGAAATTGACTACAGCCCGCTTGTGAGGAAGAATGTGACGTTGCACCCGTATCCCAATAAGATGAAAAATTATTGCTATGTCAAAGAAATAACTAGAACAACTTTTGAGAAAAGCAGCCAATGGTGAAAGTAAGATAACATTGTGGTTTAAACTTATTGTTGAGACTTTTCTCTTTAAGTGGTGGGATAACTAAAATCATTTGAGTCAGTTTGTTGACCATGAGAAAATACATAGAATGTGAATGTGGAGATGAATGATTACTGCAGAAGTTCTCTGATTAGTAAACTTAGAATGATTTTTTTTTTTAATTTGGTTCCCTACCAGGAGAACACATTGATAGTTTATGACTTGTGTGGAAAACACAACTAATAATTTTGTATCATATGCCCCAGATATATGCTCTGTTGTAAAAGATAGTTGTGAGAGATTATTGCAAAATGAAGAACAAATAAAACTTAATTTAACCTGTCAAAAAGTAAATAATAAATAAACATAGGTCATCTTTTCTGAATCTAATTTTTCTCCCCAGCCCCTAGTCTCTAAAGGCAAAGGAACTGAAAAGAGATTATTTTTCCACTGGTAGGAATTATGTCACATTCCATCCATAGTGAAAGCAGGGAGAGTTAGTATTTATTCTAAAGAACAATTATTTTATTCTGTAACATTATACATCATTTCATACTGGGTTATGAACTGGGTTTAATGTGCTAAAGCTATCTCTTAGGAAACTTCTCTTACCAAGGGACTATGAGCTTTTCAAAGTCAGGAACCAAGTTTTATTGTTTTATTTTTACTGTTAATGATGGAAAATAATCTAATGAGTCCCTGGTACTTACCACTCGGCTTCACCAATTATAAATATCAATGTATGGCTAATCTGGCCATTTATACTCCACCCCCATGCTCACCCCAACATATGATTTTAAAGAAAATCCCAAACATCATATAATTTTATCTTTGAAACTTTTAGCATGGATCTCTAAAAGATAAAGGCTCACTTAAAAATAATAAATATAGTAACACTATCACATGAAATATTAAAAACCATTCCTTTATTGAATCATGATTTGTCTTTTAAGTCTCCACTCTCTCTCACAGCCCCTGGCATGTGGAAATGCCCAGTCACTGTGCCCCAAACAGTTTTCAGGAGTTTTCATTTTGAGGAGGTGATAGTCATCTCCTTTCCTCCTGAACAATTCTCCAAATTGTCCAAAACTCAGTTTGATATTACCTGCTTTATGAAGACTTCCTTAATTTTCCCAAACACAGGTAGTCCCTTCCTCTTGCAGGCTCTGATAATACATCATTCATATCTCTAGCATGGATCCAAGCATTAGGTATTATAGTTATTTAATTGCCTCTGTCTCCAAATTTAGGCATTCCTTTAATGCAGGAATTACTTGTTTATCACAGTAATCTCAACCCCCAGAGATCCTGGTGATAAGGAAGATTATATTATTATTTGTTTGAGGAAAAGAAGGAGGAAGGGAGGGAGAACACAGACAAGAAGTGGGGCTCAGTTATGCTCTCTGTCATAGGAAATCTGAGGGAGTATTTTGATGGTGCTCCCACGTCCCCCATTTTGCTCCTGTATTAAGTTTACATGAACAGGGAATTTTGTCTGTTTTACTTATTGTATTTATGTCTAGCACCTAAAACAACTTGACTCATAGTAAGAATTTAATACATATTTATTGAATGAATGAATAAAGTACTTTGGCCCTACACAAAAGATTGATGAATTCAATGTGCATTTATAAGTTAAAGTGTTTACTATGTCATTATTTATGTATGATCACCTGCTTTCACAAGCTTTTTTAATAAACTGAGCAGCCATCATTGGTGTTCCCACTAGGATATAATCCTCTCAGAATAAATATGTACTATTTACTGCCTTAAGAAATGTCATAACTAATAATCAGTGACTGGTAAGAAGATTTATTTCAGTGCGATCAGTGTAACCAAAGCCTTTGGTTGCCAGATCGAAAGGCACAGGGCATTTCTGGGAGTACTGGATTTTATGCAAACAGTGACTCAACAAAAACACTTGTTGCTCCTTACTTCAGAGTAACTGGGTCTATTACCCAGGTCTGGCTAGGAAAGCAGGTGTGGGAAGATCAGGATAATTCAATATTAAGATGGAAATTACATTCTTCCACTTTTACCCTTGACTTAAAAGGTTAGTTTGATTTACTCTGACCTGGAGATATTATTTGTGTGCTTCGGTTGTCAGTGAGCTTTGGGCAATAGAGTCAGAAGCCTCTAATGAATCCTGTTGATCTCCACTTTCACCTCATAGTTATTTTCTCAACTCAGAGGCAAATCGCCTCATCTACCTTTTAAAAAGACAAATGTCCATAACTTCTAAGATTCATAATTGCCAAGTTTCCATCATATCTTGTTATTTAGCCCCAGATGTCAATTATTGGTCATGTGTCAATCTAAAACAGAATAGTGAGGGAGCACAATGTAAGAATGAAGTCTATGAGGTTTTTGTTAAGTCTCCCTACCTGTTTTTTATACTCTTCCCAAGCACAACCCACCCTCCTTTAAGAAGCCCTTCTTGGCCAGAGTGCTTCAGGTTTTGATATGGTGTAGATTCTTTCCTGTCTACGTAAAACCATTTGATAAACAAATTCACACCAAGATTTAATGACAGCCTACCTATTCTACAAAGACACATACACATACACAGTTTTTTTGTTGTTGTTTTTTTTTAACCAGGCAACTTCGAATTCATTCTTCAATTCTCAGCTCAGTATTCATCTCTCTGAGGTCCCCACTATGGATTGACTATTCGTGTCCCCCCTGCAAAATCCATATGTTGAACCCCTAATTGCCAATGTGATAGTATTGGGAGGTAATTAGGTTTAATGAGGTCATGAGGGTGGGGCCCGGATGATGAGATTAGTGCCCTTGTATTAGGTTATTAAGTTTGAAATGTCCCATTTCCTTAAGTACTAAGTTTGATAGTTGATATCTCTGACATTTCATTTTGACACTTTTTGTTTTATTTTTATTGTGAGGGTACATCCTCAGTCTTTGAAACACATGTTTTGGCTTCTGATTATCTTTCACAATTTTTAGAGCAATTTTTGTGAAACTATGGATAAATCAAAACTTCATGTTATTTTCGAATATAAGTTCTGTCATGGAACCAATGTAGCACAGACAGATCGAAATATCAACAAAGTGTTTGGGAAAGATGTGGCTGTGAACGCAGAATATGTCGTTGGTTTGAGAAGTTCTGTTCTGGTGATTTTAGTCTTGAAAAATGAGCTTCATGGACCACCTGAGACCAATGTGGATAATGATGAGCTGAAAGCTGTAGTGGAAGTGAATCCATCTCAACCTATGTGTGAATTAGCAGCAAGGTTTGAGGTTACTATTCCAATAATATTAGACCATTTGAAATAAATTGGCAAGGCAAAGAAGATGAATAGATGGGTTCCACATGAATTAAACAAGCGTCAGAAGAGAAATCGACTCTAAAGCTTGCCTTTCTTTGCTGTCATGACATAAAGGTGAACCATATTGTTATGTGTGATGAAAAATGGATTCTTTTTGGCAATCACAAGCATTCAGCATAATGATTGCATAAAGATGAAATGCCAAAACACAGTCCAAAACTGAATATTCATCAAAAAAAAGTTAATGGTGTCTGTTTGGTGGTTCGGCACTGGTATTATCCACTATAGCTTAATGAAACCTGATCAATCGATTACAGTGAATGTCTATTGCAACCAATTGGACAAAATGATGAGGATGCTTGTGATTAAGTAGCCAAGATTGGTCAATAGAGACAATGCTTGACCGCATGCCACACAAACAAGGATGCTCAAACTACAACAGCTGAACTTGGAAACTCTCTGTTATCCACCATATTCACCAACAGACTACACTGCTTTCAGGCTTTGGACCACTTCTTGCAAGGAAAAATATTCAATTCTCAACAAGCTGTGGAAAACGCCTTTGGCAATTTCATCCCCATTTGCTCTCCAGGCTTCTTCGCTGCTGGTATAAACAAGCTACTGTTAGGATGGCAAAACTGTGTTGATAGTTTAGGCGCATATCTTGATTAGTTGTACTGCTTCTTGTTTGAGATATAATAAACTACACTTCTGACTCAAAATCAGATATTTCATATTTAATGACCTAATGAGATGAAGAGACCAGAGTTCTCTCTCCCGCTCTCTCTCTGTCTCTCAGCCATGCGAGGATACAGCAAGAAGACACCCATCTGCACACCAGAAAGAGGGCCCTCATCAAGAACCCAACCCTGATCTCAGACTCCTAGCCTCCAGAACAGTGAGAAATAAGTGTTTTGTTGTTTAAGCCACCCTGTCTATGGTATTCTGTTACAGCAGCCCAAACTGACTAATAATATATTCTCTATGATGTAGTCATTAGAATTAAACTTATGCTAGTAGAAAATAAGCACATGAGAAAATATGTTCATCATTAGTCATTAGGAAATGCAAATTTATACCATAATGATATGCCACTATGTATCTATTAGTTGGTCTATAATTAAAAAGACTGACCATACCAACTGTTGGCAAGGGAGTATAACTCTCAGATGTTGGTTATAGGGAAATAAAAGTGTTTTGGAAAACAGTTTGGAAGT